GCAATGCAAATAATGATAATTTAATTTTAAATATGTTTTTTTTTAAACTTTGTTACAAGATAAACCGCTCATGGAGTGAGTTGTTTTTAATGGTTCACGTGGCTTTATGATTTTGGGTTTTGTTAGGGATTTCATTCCTTTTCCTGATGTTGAAAGGGAGAGTTTGTTTCTGCTAACACGTTTCGGAGAAGGAAGGGGAGGAGCTAGATTTTGTTGCACTTGTGACTTTTTTTTTTTGTGTTAAAGGGACAGTCCAACCAAACGCAAAGATTGAGGGAATACGGGCCTTCCGTCCGTTGACTGTCCCAGAATTATGAGCTTCCTGGTCATGTGAGACTCCTTGTTTCTGAGTCTGAAGTTTTTGCATTTAGAGAGTCTCACCCACGTGTATCATTTACAATGACCGCATTGAGGTGGTATATATCCGAATATGCAGGCACATTGTAACCATCTCTGGCCAGTGAGGAAGAAAAATCATTTTATATCCTTAATCTGCACCACTGCAGTCTCTTGGGAAGCTGCATGTGTGGAGAGGCGGAGTTATGAAGGAGGAGGGTTGTACAGACAGTCATGGGTGGAGTCTGTTCATGCAAAGTGGCCTCCAAGCCCTGCCCAGTTTGGTCATAGAGCTGGCTACGCACGCTACCATTTGATTGCTTCGTTTCCTTTTAGATTTATTAGCAATTGTATAGTGTGAGGACCTGATTGGGTTTAAATTGAATGGATCATTTGGGTAGGCCCTTGATGTCACAGGGGCGGAGCATGCTGATATGGGTGTGGCAAGCAGGATGGCCATTAGGGAATGGAACTGCACGATTGTAATGCAGAGAAAGAAATTGAAGTGATTTGATTGGCTGACGTAATGTAAGCTCCCCATTTATAGAAGCCATAGTTGGGTTGGGGGTCATGTAATCTCAAATATAATTCTCGTCCTTTGAGGGACACAAAAAGCCTGGAAGTGACTTTTGGGCACATGCTTTCCTGACTGTGGCTGTGGACCTGGAAAATGCCCTGCGGATAACTGGTTGCCAGAACAGCCGGTATTGCTTCAACGCTTGCCCTAAAGACTAACTTCATGAGTAGGCTGGTCAGGTCAACCATCAGGAGCTACTTCATTTACAATGGATGCCCTTGAATTCCTGCAAACTGGCAGTTTCCACTATGGGACTGAGCGCTGACGTCCTTCAGGGGGGTGGGGGGGTGTCATGTCCACGCTCTCTTTTCTAGGACTTTGATTTTCAGATCAAACCTATGAGGACTTTGGTCACCTCTGGCCATCCAACCTTCAACTCTTTGGACTTCATGTATACCTGGGGCCTTGTCTCATGCCTGACTTTGGTCACCTCTGGCCATCCAACCTTCAACTCTTTGGACTTCATGTGAACCTGAGGCCTTTTCTCAAGCCTTGAACCCCAAACTGCCTTACCACCATACGTTCACCACTTGCCTGATTCTTGATGGGGGGTGGTGGACTGGACAGTCCTGCTGCAACAGTTGCCCCCGGCTTACACCGTACCAACCGGTCTGAAGCTGCTTGCAGCAGCCCCTACTTGGTGGTCTCAATGTCTTCAGCTGGGAATCATGTTGCTCTCTGCTTCTACAGCAAATTCTGTCATCTGAGTCCTCTTTAGCTCTGTCGGATGTGGCCAGTTCTTCTGCCCTTTCATTTTAGGGTTTTACTACAGTCATGCAAGGTAAATTGTGGCCCAATTCAGCCTCAAGCGTCCCTCATTTGCAGATTCTGTATCCGGTCTTAACGCTTTCTTATCAGCTCTATCAGCCAAAAGGACTGCCGGATTCTGAGCTGCTGCAGTCTTTGCTAGATGAGCTTATCCCGGAGGAGTCGCAGTCTTCTATAACTTCCAAATTTAAAGAGGCCGTTAGCGAAGTGGTGCAAAGCCCTCAAAACTAGAGTTTCAGCCTGTTGGTTTTACCAGCACTGTTTCCAGTCTTGGGTCTTTTAGAGCGAAGACATTTCCGTGGCACCCGCTGTTCTAACTCTCTATGGAGGTTGGAAACACCCTGACAAGTTGTTTGTTCTCCCCGAAAGCTTATGAGCCTTGTATCTGTTTGGAGAGGATTTTGTAAAAATTGTGGATCCAGCAGTGCCCCACCTTAACAAAGTGACTACTATTTTGTTCGAGCAGGGGTAGGCAACCTTGGCACTTCAGCTGTGCTGAAACAACAAATACCATCATGGCTCTGGGACTCATGCCTGTGCCTGTCAGTCTTGCAATGCCTCATGGGACTTGTTCCGCAACAGCTGGAGTGCCTAGGTTGCCTACCCTTACGGTAGAGGATACATGTGTCTTTAAACGCCCAACTGGTAAGCGGCTGGAAGCCATTTCTAGAGCCTTGTTCTTGATGGTGCATCCTATTCCTTCCCTCAGCTTGACTGTGCCCTTTAAAATGCCATAATCAAGGACACTACTGGCTGCAAGAGAACCTTTCTTCCTCCGCAGAAGAAGCCTTGATGGTGGATCCTGTTCCTTCCCTCAGCTTGACTGTGCCTTTTAAAATGGCATAATCAAGGACACTACTGGTTGCAAGAGAACCTTTCTTCCTCCGCAGAAGAAGCCTAAGGAACAGACTACCAAATCTTTTGCCTTCTTGTAATTAAGGATGGTCTCTTTCATTCAACAAAGGATTCTGACAAATCCTTCAACAAGCATTGTTCTGCATGAAGATAAGCCTTTGTGGACACTGGTAAGTAGATGGAGAGACCCTCCGCACTCCTCACAGCAGTCCCGGCCAGATAAGAAAAAAGTGGTGCTCGCAGTGATGAATTACCACGGATGGCGCCGTGCAAACACAGGAAAGTCAGGAAATCACCAGCACTTAGTAGTAAAGATAAATATGTCCCTTTTTATTGGACAGAAAGCGTCACAGACATCCAAATAAACGGAGGTTTCGGGGCCACGCAGGGTCCCTTCCGCAAGGCAGAAAGATGTGAGACTTTTTGCCTTGAGGAAGGGACCCTGCGCGGCCCCGAAACGTCCGTTTATTTGGATGTCTGTGGCGCTTTCTGTCCAATAAAAGGGACATATTTATCTTTACTACTAAGTGCTGGTGATTTCCTGACTTTCCTTTGTGGACACTTGGACAGCTTGTGCAGGAGGTGGCATCTCGAGGCTTCCTTCCCCAGTTTCTCACCTCCAAACTGTGTCTGTACAAAATAGCAGATGTCCATCAAGGCGCCTTGGATCTTCTGGACCAAGGTGTCATTGTTTTAGTTCCTGTGGCAGAACAGTCTCAAGGATTCTGCTTTAACCTGTTCCCTGGCCCCAAACCCATATGGGACATCTGGTCCATCTTCTTTTGAGTTCAGAAATTCAGCATATAATCTACCAGGTCTGTCATCTCCATCCTTCAAAAGGGACATTAAGACTCGTACCTGCATGTTCCATCTTTCTAGCACATAATTTTCTATTTTTTGCTTTGGGTACCCTGGGCTATCATCTGCACCTCTGTTAACCAAGTTGCTGACCCCATTTCTAGCCCTCCTGCGCTCTCCTGGCATCCACATTGTGGGAAACTGCCTCCTGTTGAGGGGACAGTCGGAGCAGGCTCTGTACGTGGCTCTGACTGTCCAGGTGTTACAGCTTCAGAAATCTGCATTGGAGCAAATTCATTTTTAGAGTTTTTAGGTCTAGTCATGGACTTGGTTCAGGGTGTTTGTCCACGGGAGAAGCTTAGGACTCTCCAATCTCAGAGTTGAGCCCTCCAGTCTAAGACTCTGCTTTTTAATGAAAGTCTTGGACCTGCTAGTAGCCTTATTCAAGGGTGTCCCTCCAGACCTCTACAAGTCAACATCCTGTTGTGGGAGAAGTCAATCAGGTTCCTGTACAGACTGATTTGTTTGGCACAGTGGACCAGGTTGTCCTTGTTTTTTTTTTTTGGCTTAGGAATCCACCTCTGGAACTAGGGTAGTCCTTCCTTCACTTCTTTTGGAAGATCCTCAGGACA